ACATCTGTAACTGCCTGCTTTGAGAAGTTTTGCCACCAGCACCACACTCACAGTGTCCCCAGGTAAGTCATTCCACTGCCCTGGAGACAGGGGAGGATGGAGCTTAAAAAGCTTTGGGTTTAAATTCTCACAAGTGCCTCATATCCAAGAGCTCCTRGGATGAAAGACAAATGGCTCCCAAGTTGYGYGGGCTCAGAAAAGACCAGTGTGGGGATTAGGAATTGTAAGGAGCCTTAGTTATTCCTGTCTTTATTTGGATTTCCATGATGTACAWAATGGTGGATGTCACCCCAAGCAATTCTGAAGAAAGACCTCTTCTTTCAATGCTGTTCAATGATTTTCTAGCTAAGGACAGAATATTTTCAGAGCAGCACAGAGACTCTAGGATTATATTTGACAGTAAAAGACATCAGGCCTTAAGAATCAAAGTCCCTCCACACCTGCTAAGTATTTAAGTTGAAGCCAAAATTTCTAGAATATGAGCAACCTCACCCTTTCCMTTTTGAATTTGTTTGATAGCTCCTAATATGAATTTTAAGATGTTTAGAGCACATATATATTATTTTCCAAATCTTTTGAGAATTCCCCCAAATCAAAATGACATAAAATAACAACCATTACTGTCACTGTGAATACTCCAGGCACTTTTTCTTCCAGGCTTAGTTAAGGACAGAGAATGTTTTTCTTCTGATTCAGGTTGGATTATTCCAGATAAAACAGTCATTAGGAACGCTAAGGCCTATTACTTTTTGGAATATAAAGTGTGMCTTTATCAGATGAAAGCAAAAGAGAAGTAATTTTTTTTTGTCCGAATAAATTGCCAGAACATGAAACACAAATCCATTCCAGAAGTAAGCAGTGGTAGAAATTCCTGGCTGTATTGTCAGGTAATGCAAACTAGTGGGACTTGCATGAGGCTTCTGCAGTCAAATAAAACAAATCTTCTGCTCTATGAACTACAACTGCAATGTGCACATTATTTCTTGCTGAAGATCTTGCCCAGGGAGTTACTGCAGAGGAGCAGCTTGTTTGTATTCTGGCTGCTTGGAAAGCCTGGAGAGCAGACCACATGAAAGCCCTTTRAGGTCTTCTCAGAGAGCACAGAATGCACAGGATTGACAGGCTCTGGCAAACCATGGTACAACACCTGGGAAGGAAATGTGTGYAGGAAGAATAGCAAAATGAGCCCTTTTTGATTTACACATTTTAACTGTGTGTTACTGCTGCYCTTGTCTTTGGGAAAGGAACTCAACTGACTGTGGAGCCAAGTAGGTATCCTTTATAAATTACCAYTTTCTGAGTTGTTACTCTTTYCTTTCTCCCTTTTTTAAWAMYTTTGTTCCTMCYAAAATTCAYGCAGCYACTCATTCATGTTTYTAAGTCACTAATTAGACTTCCTATGTGTAATTTTTTTGTATGCAACTAGACAATTTATATGTAAAAGCATTCTGATTCCACTTTTCAGTGTTGCCAAAGAACTTGAGCTCCACAGGGGAAGTTCTGTCTGTTAACATTCTGAGTGTCTTTGGGAAGTACATCTATACACTTAGTCTTCTTAGGATTTTCATAGTAATTGTTGGGATTAAAGTCATGTTTGGACACTAAAGGGAAATAAAGCATCTGTAGAGGTTGACATGTAAGTTCCTAAGACTATCTGTAGTGCCAGAATTAAAAAGACAACAGTGATGGCAGAGAGGGGTAATGTATAAAAGCATAAAATAAAATCTTATGAAGCATTTCTGTACTACTTTAATCTTACCCAATTGTTCAAAATTTGGGTTCAACTGAACTGGTCAAACCAAGTTAATGAAGGTTTGATTTCTGTTGGGTGTCWGGTTGCTGTAGATGTGGACAAGGGTGTTGTTTTGCCTGTTTGATCAGGAGAGGTGACCCATGAAGGTCTGACAGAGCATGATTTGGCTTTCACCTCAGTTCCTCAGCAGTGGCCTAGGGCTGATGGGGAAAGGGTGTATCAGAGCCCGTTGATCAAACTTAGATCAGTASCCTGTGATGAACAAAATGTTAGACCTGAGGGATCTCTTGACCCGCTCACAAGACAGGCTGCATGCAAAATGAAGACTAATGCACTTCCCTTTACYAAGAGACCCATCAGGATGCTCCTGTTAAAGTAGGCCCGGAGATCTTTGTGGATGTGTCTSACAGCCTTTCATAACCTGAGACCTTTCTGGCAAGGAAGGTTGCTGAAGGATTCCTTTCAGTTCCATGTTTTTACTCGAATTCAAATTTTTCATCTGAGTTAAATCCTGACATGGATTTGTGAGATCATCCTTGACTCTCCATGTATATGACCTGACCTAGAGGCAAAGATATTTTATTTAAAGAAGAAATCATGGTACAACAATGATTTGTTTGCTGCTACATTCTACTGAGACCGTTTCCTTGTAAGACAGTTACTGCAAGTTTAACCAATCTAATTTCATTACTTGTATGTCCAAACAATTATTTTTTTTCAGATATTCCAAACAGTTCCATCCCTSAAGTCATTGTGATGAAATCAAAGAACCTGGGAAAAGGTAGCAGCACTGGGAAAGCAGCTTGTTTGGCAAGGAATTTCACAACAAAGAACATCCTCTTGGAGATGCCCTCTAAGGAGGTTGTGTATGACCAGAGCTCATCCATTTTGACATCAGAGGGGTTGTACAATGCAATTAAAGTGGTCAGTGTGACAAAAGACACAAAYGTGACCTGCACGGCCAGATTCGACAACAGCATCATAACAACWCAGCCAGGTACAGTTTGGTGGCACAACTGTCACATTTCTGGAGACAGTGTCCTGTGGGGCTGGTGTTCCCCTGCTTGTCAGCACTGCCCAGGGCAGCCAGCAGAAATGAGAAAARCATTTGGTACTTCAGCAGGGACAGCTGAAAGATGTTTCAAAGATCTAAAAGAAATTATTTCAACTGTTGAATAACTTCTAGGTACTTWTTTAGTGGGGCAAGGAGAAAGACACAATCTGTTCAAAATATGTATTTCCTTGTGACTAAATATTTTACCCTTTAGCAGAAAACCTCCTGCAGCACATCCTGAAACAGCCTTTCTAAAACCAACAAAAAGTTAAAGCTGGGGTGTTTACGCGTTTTTTCACCAAAGCACTTTTAATATTTAGTGGAATTGGTTTTGTCATCCTGAAAGTCATTCCAATAGTAAAATGAAAACACTTTAGTATTTCTTTTGTGCAACTGCAACTGCATAGGGAAATTCTCACTTCAAATTAATGCAGGATTTAATGACTGATCATCTGAGCCCCAGTCTTACGTTCCTCAAGTTTCTATGCGAAGGGTTACATGATCGTATACTTTAAAGATTTATAAAATGTGGATGTAGTTTAAAATGCCTTTTCTTTACCATGCTACAGAAGAAGAAGAAGAAAAGAAGATTGAAGAAGCAGTAACAGAGGACAGTAACTGGGTTTGCAACAGCACAGACCCCTCAGCAAAAGGTGAGTTACCCTAACAGGTTGTGAAGTTGCATCGCTGTTTGGAGGATAAAGGCAGGGAGTTGTATTTTCTCCAGGGGAGAGGAATCAGAATATAACATACTCAGCAGACCAAGGTGCTGTTCCAAGGCTGCTCCTGCAGTAACACTCAAGCCCCAGGAAGCCAAAAGCAAAAGACACAGGCCCTGGGCTCCCCTGGTGTTGCCTTGTTCGCTATCCTCTGTTCCTTTGCTGCTCTCCYTTTCCCTCAAACTATTCCCTGGGGTTTGTTCCACTTTCTGCCAAGATCACAACATCAAAACCCACACCATGATCTCTCCCATCTTTTCTGAACACTCAGCAGATACTGAAGGGGAGAAAGTGAACATGCTGTCCATGGCTGTGCTGGGCTTGAGAGTTCTGCTGGCAAAGAGCATCGCCTTCAATACACTCATGAGTATCAAATTGTTCCTTTTCTGAGGTAAGGGAGCACTCAGCTATCAAACAGCAATTCCTTGGCCTAGTTCCATTAAATGTGATTTAAAAGCCCTCTTTACTCTTCCAGATATGGGGAATGAAGCAGGAAAGAGTGTGAACCAGCAGCACGCGAGGTTGAACCAGCAGTTTCAGAGCTGCTTACAGTGACCACCCAGGACACAAAGCAGCACAGTCCCCTGGAGACATTGAATGCTGTTCACTCCTGCCTGGCCAGCTGTTTTACACTGAAGTGTTTTAAATGCTTTTGCTGTTTCCCGTCCTCTGAGAATTGACGAGAGTGGGTTTATCCTCATCCTCCTCCTGAGTAATCTCTCCACTCTTCACAATTTGCATAGAAATGTCCAGCCTGCTTCAACAGCTTTGAAAACCCCAATGCTCGMTACAGACTTATGGTGTTTCAAAAGCCCCTTTCCCAGGCACCTCATGTCACTGCCTGGAGAGCTGGAGTGTTACTGCTGAGGGAATTCAAGCCCATTAATTGCCATTCGTAGCTTTGGGGTTTTTATCATTTTAATACCAATAATTGTGTGTATTGTAGATGAGAAGAACTGTGTAGGATCAGAAATGATTCAACTCAACCAGGTAATATTCAACCAGAGAAGCATTTCTTATTAATCCTNACTTTCTGCCAAGATCACAACATCAAAAACCACACCATGATCTCTCCCATCTTTTCTGATCACTCAGCAGATACTGAAGGGGAGAAAGTGAACATGCTGTCCATGGCTGTGCTGGGTTTGAGAGTTCTGCTGGCAAAGAGCATCGCCTTCAATACACTCATGAGTATCAARTTGTTCCTTTTCTGAGGTAAGGGAGCACTCAGCTATCAGTGATTCTTTGGCCCAATTCCATTAAATGTGATTTAAAACCACTCTTATTCTTCCAGATATGGGGAATGAAGGCAAGAGGAACATGAAGAAGAGCAGGAAAGAGTGTGAACCAGCAGCACAAGAGGTTGAACCAGCAGTGTGAGAGCTGCTGCTGTGACCACCCAGGACACAAAGCAGCACCTTCCCCTGGAGACATTGAATGCTGTTCACTCCTGTCTGTTCAGCTGTTTTACACTGAAGAGTTTTAAGTGCTTTTGCTGTTTCCCCTCCTCTGAGAATTGAGGAGAGTGGGTTTATCCTCATCCTCCTCCTGAGTAGATCTCTCCCCTCTTCACCATTTGCATAGAAATATCCAACCTGCTTCAACAGCTTTGAAAACCCCAATGTTCACCACAGATTTATGGCCTTTTAAAAGCCCCTTTCCCAGGCACCTTGTGTCACTGCCTGGAGAACTGGAGTGTTACCGGTGAGGGAATTCAAGCCCATTAATTGCTATTTGTAGCTTTGGGGTTTAGATCATTTTAATACCAATAATTGTGTGTATTGTAGATGAGAAGAGCTGTGTAGGATCTGAAGTGATTCAACTCAACCAGGTAATATTCAACCAGAGAAGCATTTCTTATTAATCCTGTATTTCTTCTGCTAAATCTATCACACATGTATTTTAGGTTCCTATAGTAGTGATGAAAATAAAATGTGAAAAAGCAATGCTTTTTCTATGCGTTTTCTTCTGAAGTGGGATTCAGGTTGCTGAAATCCAGCTATCCTAGAACTGGAAACACAGCTTTGATAACACAGATTTCCTGTTGGCTGAATTTGTCTTTTCCCCACTGTGCTGTGTAGGGAAGGGTCTCTTTGGAACATTCAAGAGCTTCAGTGAGGAGAGACGTTGCTGAAGGCATGAGGGAGGAAAATGCTCATATCAGCAGGATAGAAACCCTGCTGTTGTTTTGCATTCAGTGGTAGAGGAAGAGGCCACAAAAAAATAATTTTGGGTGGTTTGATGGAGTGATAGTTTCCATAGCAACCTGCTTCTTACCTAAGACAGCCCAGCACACCTTCCCCAGCTCAGCTTCTCTCACAAGCAACAGGCAGGATGCTGTGGTCACCATCTCTGACTCAGTTACCCCAGGCAAGATCTACCCTCCCCTGCTTGTGAAAAAACAACTTACCTACATCCTGGAGGGGAAATAAGGCTTTTCTCACCCTGCCTGAGCTCCTGCTGG